AACTGTTGTAAATCTGTTGTCACTGTAATAAACAGTTACGTGTGGGTTTATTATTGAACTCAGAACACAGCAATTTGATAAATGACAACAAGGTTAAAAAAAGTTTGATTTAAGGCCCATTTACATCAAGGACTATACCTATAACGAAAATAAATATAAAGTTAATAATCATTCTAATTCTCTGAGAATAAGGAAGTCTATAATGATAACGAAGCGCAGTTGGAATCACTTTAAAACATTTTTTTTCGATCTGATGAACAATAAAAACTTTGACAACCAATCAGAATCCACACAAATGACCCTTCGCAAAGACCCGCCCCCTTTAGTTACTGTTATGTCCAAAAAGCCATGCCGCTCTCACAGTGAAAAATGCATAGTGGAGCAAAGAGGAAACTAACAATGCGTCAACAGACAAGACAGAGTGGAGCAAAACAATAAATACCATTTTGTGGCTCTTTAATGTTTCAGATCACTGTAGCACCTCCGTTCAAATGGCAGGTGAACCGATCATCTCTTCCTTTTTACTAGTTTTAGCATGAAATAAACATGAACGAACACGAGAAGGTATCTTGTTTCAATCGCAGAAAGACGTCAGTACACATTATTTTTCTACTCTCCTGTCTGATTTGTTTGTCAGACAAAATGGCGGATTCTGCATTATTATTGGTCAAATCGCCTGTCAATCAAGCTCCCTGCGAAGGGTCAATTAAATAAATCAAGCATTTAAGCATCAGCGTCGGCTTGCGATGGCGCCGACGCTGATGGCTGCCTCCATGGCATGCTCCGCAGTTGTTTTTATGTTTTTGTTAGTTTGTCCTGTCTTTAGTTATATCCCTGCAATCAGTTTCACCAGAGACGAATTGCTGGACAGTACACACCACCCGATATTTCACCGGTTTTCGATTATTCTGATGTTTTGCTGGACATTGTAGTCGGGGGAGCTGCGGTGCTGATCAAACGCTTCAGGACACGCAGACAGGGGAAGCGAGCTCATTCTGATTCTGATTCTGATAATGCTGCAGACGACAAAACTGAAGCACGCGCTTATAATAAACTGAACATTACAAAATAGTGCTGGGTGATATACCGGTTCAAACGATACACAGGTTTGAATTACGCACACAGAATGAATAAAAAAAAAAAAAGGCATACCGGTACAAGTGGCTAAGCAACGTAGACAGCGTAGTGAATTGAGATGAGATCCCTGTTGACTGCATACACTTCTGACTAATGGTTAGAGAACTATTAATAACACATAACTAATTCTTTAACTGGGCAAATAAACTAACTGTAAACGGCTGTGAACAGAAGCCAGAGATGCTGAAGTCGAATGCAAAGAGGAGAAAATACTGTAGCAGGCAGAGCAAACTCATTTCACCATGTGCGAAATATTGGAAGAAATACTGAACTGGGGGTGGGAGTTCATATGAATGTATCTCTGAGGGAAACTGACTGTCTTCAGAAAAGTTTAGATGGTATTTTCACAGTGCTGCTTTGTTTACAGCAGTATCCAAGGAAACGGTCTATGGCTGCTGTGCCATAAGTGCCACCTGCTGTCTGAGAGTGAATTTGCACTTTCATTCAGCCCGTCTGCTGTTTCTGTTCATGCAGAAATGTTTTATTTAGCATAATTTCTCAAAGCTAAGGTCAGACCATTCTGTTATTGCTTTAAATTTGGAAATTATACAATCTAATTTACATTAAAAACTAATCATACTATACTGGAGTATGTTTGTTTGGCTCGTGATTAAAATGCAGTGGTTCTGCAACTGTTTCATGCAATCTGATTCATATAAAGGCAGAGTCAGGGACAAACCATGATAAACCATAAAAGCAGAATCCGAAATATATATATATATATATTTTGATAAAAAATTGTGGTTAAGCCACCCAGCACTATTACAATGCATTGATGTTGATGCTAATAAATTTATTGTACAGTTATCATTCTTTGTGTGAAAGAGCCTTTAAATTCTAATTTTATTTTATTTGTCACAGACAATTGCAGTTTGGTGCAATGATATTTAATGTGCGGAAATTATTATGGCTCATCCAGTCAGTCTTTATGAATTGTGGCTCATCCAGTCATTTTATGAATTACATGTACTTATAAAAATCATAATCCTAGAACATGTTCAGAAGTTAATTTTTCATTCTTGTGCATGAAAACCAGACATGTGCAGATTGACATGTCTGTGGAAAGGGGACATGAGACTGAAGTGCCAAGCATTCGATAACATTCAAGCCCCAATAGTTATTTTAAAATTCCTGAATTTTAGTTTAATTCAAACATTTATACAATGATAAGAGAAGCTGCGCTAGGATGGGAAGAGCTCCTCTAGTACACCCCAAAACAGCCCTTATAATTTAAAGAATTTAATGATAAATGTTGTGTTCATTCTAAAATGTCTTACTCTTAACTGAAAACTTTCGTATTTTTGAAATTTAAGCAGAATGTGTGAATTTGTGATTAAAAAAGGTATTTTTGTCTCAACTTAGCATAAGCCTCTGTTTGCTCTCAATTTAAACTGACTTAAATTAGATATTAAAGAGACTTCAATTGTGGTTATTCTTTCCAATTGTTTAAGGTTCACACTGGGGTCCGCTAGCACAAAATGGGAGTTGAATTCAGACTGACTTGACAGTCCTTCACAATCACATCAAGCAGCTCCGAAAAGAACTTTGACAGCTTACATAACAGATCTATCAAACTACACTAAGCTGAGAGCACCAGTCTGCTGGTATCTGAGCAGCCTGTGATTTTCAACACTGCCCCTGTCAACACATCAAAAAACTTCTTGAGGGGCTGCCTCAACCTACTAGGAGTAAAAAAAAAAATAGAAAAAATCTAAAACGACTAACCATGAAGTCACACATGCACACTTTTGACAAAATAAGATCTCTTATGATCTGCATGACTGGAAACTGTTGCACAAACAGGAAGTAACATGAGTAGGCCTCTCATTTCAACCACAGTTGGTGTAGATCAGTGGCACACTCTCGGCAATATGGAGCTTGTCACAAATTGTCTAAATGTGCTCACAAATTGGGTCTGAAAGTCAAATAAATTTAAACACAGAAGCACATTGGCGTAGTTCTGAACGGTTCCTCTTGAGGCTTGTTCTGAATCCAGCAGCTCTGTTGCACTCAGGAAGTTCTGCACAAGCCTAGGCCTGAACAACACATCTCGAGAAGGAAGTGAAAGGGCTGTCTTCATCAATAGACAGAGATCTTGTTTATCGAGGTCTGCCAGTTAATACACACACCTTCCCTTTTACGGATCTCTCAGACATTGTGATATTTTTGGCTGCTTCTCCAGTGACTGGCGTTGGGGGCTGCAGAAACTCGTTTATTTGTGTGGAAAAACAGGGTTAGCTCTTCAGATAGAACGACAAGTTTTTTTTCATTGCTATGAAAATCATTTCCACGCTAGCTTTTATAGGCTATTTATCAACTCGGTGATGCACCATGACGTATGTCATCTACTGCACTCATCAATATGAGGCTAAAAAGCACTGCGGGAATTTTCCAATCATTTTACAGCCCCCTAAACCATGTCAATGCAAAATGAGCTTTCAGAAAAAAAGCGTGTCATATCCGAATTCTCTCGAGGCTGCAATAAAATAGCAGTAGACTTTCTCGAGCTGATGAAAGCATACCAGTTTGGCTATAAAGACATGAACAACACCATCATATAAAGCACTGCTTATGTGTAAAAGATTGATTTTTTTAGAGCAAGGACATTGTGAGACAGTTAGTGCTACTGAATGATAAGACAAATGATTGAATGAGAGTGAGCAAGAGTGATACACCATCACTTTAAATGCCAAGAGATATTTATGACAATTTAAATGCAATAAAATAGGGCAAATATTGTAAAAAAAAACAAATATGGAATACTTTATTGTGATTGGTAAATTTAACTCTTTCAGCACTTAAATATTTCAGAACAATGACCACAAGCTAATAAAATATGTTTCATGTCCATGCAGCACAAAAAGTAGGATAATGTACAGCCAATTGGTCATAATTCCAAAATAAACTTTTTTTTTTTGTGATAATGTCAGACTGTCTGTACATTATCCCTTAAATAGCAAACATACAAGTATGTTGATTTGCTCATTCTGCTCAATTTTATTACCATTACATATTTGTTCATTCATATTTATACTTCTAAAGTGATAAAGGATGTCAGTAAGGTGTCTGTGGTGTCACGGGAGACAGTCAGAACAGGATCTTAGTTTGGTCTTGCCGTTAAAAGAGGATGTGGTTGCATACGACTTTACCAAAAAAGTACATTGAACATGAGAGGATGGGCCTAATACTGTCTTTTAATCAATGAGTTAATTAATTAACCAAATTATCTTCAAAGCCATATATATATATATATATATATATATATACACACATATATATAATTTTTGACTTATAATAAATAATATTTATTAAATATCTTAATAAATCTGAGAAATCTGCAAGTTACTCCAAACCTCCTAGTTTAGTGATACCGTTTCACAATTAATCAGAAAATGAAAACCATAAACATAAAGATAACATATATAATCCTTACTTGATTAAAATTTAATCAGCATGCATTTTTGTATTGTTTTGCATCACTTCTCTGCAGCGAAAGCGGTTTCTAACACTGCAAACAAAGTTAGAGAGTTACTAAAGTGATAAAGTAAAGTAAAAGTGTCTTACCGCCTAGTCTCGTCTTGCAGAACTGTAGATGCGGATATTCAAGAGTGCTCAGATCATGTGTGTACCAGGAAATCAAGTTTACCAATCACAACTCAACGCCTCACACTAACACACAGCTGCTCTGACAAACACCACACAAGTGTACTTAAAATTGATGTACGGTTTTGGAAACGTCGCCATTTATGTTTGTAGCTACTTGCAAATGAATGTCAAATTATTAATAATAGCGAAATTATGTATAATAAAATATAACAGGGTTCAAGTATCACAGGACATGTATGAGTAAGTTTGAAAGTGATCTCTGTTGTTGCACGTGTGCTGCAAAGCAAACGACTGCAACATTAGCATCGTCAGTCTGATATTGTGTAATCAAACTTTTCAGTACAACCATGTGTCGTATCACTCGTATCGGGATATTAATGACTGGCTGCGTGAAAACTCATGAAAATGAAGAAAGACCGAGCAGTGTCAGTGTAGTCCTGTGCTTTCTCCGCATTCCAGTGTGCAGCGTCTCAGCAGGTATCTGCACTACTAACTTTGAGCTCCTAAACATGCCTTCTGCACAAACTCATCTGCTAAAACTTATGACACGATCTTTGTCTCAACAAGTCTGTAAATTCCTCGAAGTGCTTTTCGACGTTTCTTAGTTAAACCAATGCCTACACAAAACAAGGGGAGTCCGCTTTTAGCTATTATGCTGCCCACAGTTGGAATCAGCTTCCAGAAGAGATCAGATGTGCTAAAACATTAGCCACATTTAAATCCAGACTCAAAACTCATCTGTTTAGCTGTGCATTTAGTGAATGAGCACTGTGCTTCGTCCGAACTGATTGCACTGTATTTTATGTATAATCTTTTTCTATTCTTAACTGTTTTAATTCATTTTAAATCAATTTTAGTTTATTTTAAGTTTTTTTTTATTCATTTTATGTAAAGCACTTTGAATTACAATTGTGTATGAAATGTGCTATATAAATAAACTTACCTTGCCTTGCTTTGCTGCAAACAACTGCGCTTTTACGCCGAAACGTTGAATGTTGAAATTTTAAACGTTCCTTAAATGCAATTTTATAAAATGAATAAATATCTTAATATAAGGCTAATATATCTACACTGTTAAATGTGAAGTTATAAATTATTAATTCAAATTATGCTAAACATTTGGCCTATAAATTTGAGATGCCCTTGTATGATGTTGCCAAGCATATTAAATCTGGACAAAATTGGTCAGTTATTTTATCAGATTTTGTTTGAGTAATAGGCCTGTACCTCGTATAGTTTTTGTTTTTTTGTATGGTAACATTTGTTCATTTTTATGCACTCTTTACATAAGTTGATAGATAGATAGATAGATAGATAGAGACAGACTGATAGATAGATAGATAGATAGATAGATAGAGACATAGAGATAGATAGAGAGATACATACTGATAGATAGATAGATAGATAGATAGATAGA